AAAATGTTTGTTCTTTAAAGCCACTCGCCCACTTTGTGGTCCTTTGTCACAGCAGCCCCAGGAGACTGAGGCCGTGACCGTGGGTGAATACCCAACCCTCTGGCCTCGCTGACTGCTCGGTGAGAGGAGGGTTAAGCAGGGGTCGATCCCGGTTCCTGCTGCAACATGGTGATGCCTGGGAGAGACCCCTGCCCCCCATCTGACTGGTAGTCAGACCGCATGGGGGGTATTTATGAATCCTCGTACAGGGAGAGGCCTGCCGTGTGCTGAAGGGAATCCCTGCAGACAAAGGGGACCCCATGGGACCCCATGTGGGCCTCCTCCCTTCTCCACCACAGATCCCCACTGGGACTCCTGTCCCAGGAGCCTGAACCATTGTCATGGATTGAATTGTGTCTCCCTAAAATGTATCAACTTGGCTAGGCCGTGATTCCCAATATTCTGTAGTTGCCCTCCATTTTGTGACCTGATATGATTATCCTGTGTGTTGTATATCCTAACCTCTATGTTAATAAGGGTTATGGGCAGTTATGTTAATGAGGCAGGACACAATTAGATTGTACCTTGAGTCAATCTCTTTTGAGATATAAAGGAGAAGTGAGCAGAGAGGAGAGGGACCTCATACCACCAAGAAAGAAAAGCCAGGAGCAGAGCTCATCCTTTGGTTCCGGGGTCCCTGTGCTGAGAAGCTCCTAGACCAGGGGAAGATTGATGTCAAGGATCTTCCCCCAGAGCAGACAGAGAGAGAAAGCCTTTCCCTGGAGCTGTCACCCTGAATTCGGACTTCTAGCCTCCTAGACTGTGAGAGAATAAATTTCTGTTTGTTAAAGCCATCTACCTGTGGTGTTTCTGTTATAGCAGAACTAGATGACTAAGACAACCAGACTCCTGCTGAGTTCCGCCACCCAAGAATCTGAACCAGAACACTCTGCTCTGACCCCACCCCCACCTCAGCAACCCCACCCTGCAGTGGTGGGGGAGGGAGAAGGTCCTGGGGTTAGAAGGTGGGGGGGTGATCTCACCTGCCCCTTCCTGGCCTGGGCCTTGCTGGGCTGCTGGGTTGAGCTCTTGGGTGAGTGGTCGGCAGTGTCCTCTGGGGAGAAGCCAGGGCGAGGGCTTGTGCTGTGACGGGAGACGAGGGGGCCGGGCGGAGACTCGCAGGACGCCCCTCGGGGTGTTCTCCTGGTGCGAGCTGCTCAGAGGGACTCAGGCAGGCAGCGCAGACCTCAGAGCAGACCCTGCCCTTCCCTTTCCTCCAGGACCCCAACTCGTCCTTGTTCTCAGCCCTGGTGGATGGAGTGAGGGGTGAGGGGGTACAGTGGGGTGGAGTGTGGATAACACAGCAGAGAGAGAGACACAGAGACAAAGAGAGACCCAGAGGGAGACAAAGAGATGGAAAGAGAGAGAGACACACAGAGACAGAGACCCAGAGAGAGACAGAGACACAGAGAGAGATGGAAAGAGAGAGAGACAGAGAGAGAAAGAGACAGAGAGACACACAGAGACAGAGAGAGATACAGAGAGACAGAGACACAGAGAGACACGGAGTCCACTGATCCCCACTGTTCATGTCTCATTGTTGCTCCTTTGCTTGGGCTGTGTCTTTCCCCAGGACCACTCTCACCGCCTCTTCACTTAAGTCTCACTGGAACTTTCCACAGCGTCCTGCACCCCCCTGAGCCTCCTGCCTCACCCCCACGTGTCCTCACCTGGCACCTGTCTTTGTGGTTGCCCCCAGGAGCCAGGCACGTGGTGGGTGCAGGGCGAGGCCGCCTGCAGGGAGCAGAGTTGGAGTGGGGGCCTTGGGAGCTGGGGGTCAGAGACCTCAGCCAGTGACATGGCAGGACCTCCCTCCCTGGGCCTCAGTCTCCCTAAGGTACATGAGGGAGCAAACCAGAGTCTCCCTGGGCCCCTCCTGCTCATGCCAGGGTTCTGAGGGGCGAAGAGGGGATGAAGCTGAGGGCTGCTCTGGAGAAAGCTGCAGAGGGAAGACGGGACATGTGCTTGTTCTTGGCTTCCCACCACCATCCCAGCTCCCCTCTCCACAAAGTCCCTCCCAAAGGAACTCCAAAAGCTGCAACAGGGAGCAGCGGGAGAGTCCTGGCCAGGCGGGGAGTGAGGAGGGGGCCCCCCGCAGACGGTGGCCACTCCCCCCCCGGGGGAGGAGCCGGAGAGGCAGGTGGGGGCAGAGGGCAGGTGAGTGGGGCAGCCTCTCACCTGCTGACGGCCCCTCCCAGGCCCGACGCGCTCTCTGCTGCAGCCCCGCTCACGGCCCTGCGACTGAAGAGTCCAGTGGGGGCTCCTCCCCACCCTAAATCCTCTCCTGTCCTTGGGGGTCCGCTGGCGGGACAGGGCAGCCTGCCAGTTCCCTGGAAGTGGGAGGGCGCGGCTCCCTGCTCACAGGATGAGCTAAGACAGAGACGTTCTCCAGGCGGGTGGGACGGCCCTTCTTCCTCCTCAGCCCATCCTGGCCCTGGAGACCCAAGGCACAAACACCCGGGTGCCCCTGCCCCTGGCCTGGGACCCTCTGTGTCCAGCAAGGGGCTGGGCCAGAACTTCCAGTTGTTCCACGGTGCACACCTGCTCCTGGCGTCAGTGGCGGAGCTGCGTTGCAGGTGCTATGGGACTGGAGTCGGAAACCTGGGCGGAAGAAACCTCCTCCTTTACTTTTCTTAGTTGTGGCGAACGTTCAGGCTTGCCCCGCTTCTCATGGGGACGGAACGAGGCACGTGCACGACACAATCTCAGATAAGGGAACTCGAGTGCTGGTCTCTGCAGCTTTCTCATGCTGTGTTTTAGGGAAGTGTTGAGGGCCCTCTTTGCACCCTGCACCAAGAGATATTTTTCTTCTTTGTCTCTCTTACTGTACTTGAACTTTGGAAGCCCTGGTGGCGCAGGGGTTAAGAGCCTGGTTGCCGATGAAAAGGTCAATGGTTTGAATCCACCAGCTGCTCCTTGGAAACCCGATGGGGTAGTTCTACTCTGTCCTGTAGGGTCACCACGTCTTTGGTACTTGAACCAGTCCCCAGTGTTTTGCTTCTGGATTCTCTTCTTCCTCCCTAGGGAGTAATTGCTTAGAAAATGCCCTCCTGTCAAAATATAAAGTCTTCGGCATCATAAGTTGGTAGTGAGAACTCCTCTATCATTTGGCTTAATATTTTAACCATAGCGAATGAAGACTAAGGCACTCCTGACCCAAGCCATGGTGTTTTCAACTGCCTCCTATGCGGGCGAAAGCTGGATGATGAATAAGGAAGACCAAAGAAGAATTGATGCCTTTGAATTGTGGTGTTGGCAAAGAATATTTAATACACCATGGACTGCCAGAAGAACGTACAAATCTGTCTTGGAAGAAGTACAACCAGAATGCTCCTTAGAAGCAAGGATGGCGAGACTACGTCTCACATACTTTGGACGTGTTATCAGGAGGGACCAGTCCCTGGAGAAGGACATCATGCTTGGTAAAGTAGAGGGTCAGCAAAAAAGAGGAAGACCCTCAATGAGATGGATTGACACAGTGGCTGCAACAATGGGCTCAAGCATAACAACAATTGTGAGGATGGCGCAGGACCAGGCAGGGTTTCGTTCTGTTGTACACGGGGTCACTAAGAGTCAGAACCGACTTGATGGCACCTAACAATGGCTAAAGGACTGTAGCATGCGGGCAGGGCCCCGTGGAAGCCGTTGTGTTGATGTGCATGTCTGCTGTCTGCCTTTGTCAATGTGTGCGTGCTTGTTGGGACCAGTCCACTTATCACAGGCCCTTTAGTCTTTTAATGCTTTACTGCTCTGGAGAATTATGGGAGCCATGGGCCACTTTCCAGGTAACTGAGACTTGCTAAAAATGGAGCTTCAGTGGCCCCACCATTCTGGCATTGTAAGCCATTGCTTGTCATTTTAGGCCAGGCTTTGTCATTGCTAACGACTTTCAAGCCTGGGCACGCCCGTCGCTGAGCGGGACCCTTGTCAGCTGGACACTGCTATGATTCAAACCTTCCCTCCCAGCTAGTGAGACCAAGAATCCACACCCATGAAGCACAGGGTACTGGCCCCCGCGGGGTCCCCTTCTCCGCCTCCACCCTCCATTAAGGAGGATTCTGTCTCCCGGCGGATTGTGGTTGTGGTTTTTAAGTGTTTCTCGCATGGATTTGGTTTCAGAGCTTATTTCCTGCAGCACAAATTATTGGCCCTTGGAGCTGGATTCCATGAAAGATAGTCCATGAAACTCTAGGTGGAGTCCTCATCCCCCCCAGCCCCCAGCCCCCCAGCATTCCTGCACGTTACTTGAACGCAAACAGTTTACACGGCCTCTAAGCACCATTACCTCCCCTGGGGGGTCCTGCCCCTCTCCCGGTCTGCTCCCCCACCAGTGCCTGGCTACCCCAGGACCTTTGCATCACCTGGGACACTCTCTCCATGGCCCCACTGCCTCCTGTCCTCAAAAGTCATCTTGCAGTTTCCCTGGCCTCCCCAGTGAGGATTGCACGCCACACCTTCCCCACCCCATCTCCTCGGCTGGGCTTATCGTCTGTCTTCCCCGATGGCGCCTTTTGTCTGTCTGCTTGTTCACTGCAGTGAAGGGGGCCTGGGGCATGCGAGGCTGCAGGAAGGAAGGAAGCTCCCTGGAAAGGGGCAGAGGCTCGGGGTGTCGGGGTAACGACAGCAGCAAACAGCTGCTTGATGTGTGAAGGGGGCTGAGTGGTGGCCCCAAAAGGA